TTAAACCTATTTTTAATTATATAAGTATATATTTAATTAACCTAATAAATTAAAAATCCTAAGATTTTTACTACTTTAAGAAAAGACTTTTTACTATATAGTACCTTAAGGAAAATAATAAAAGCCTAAGTTATAATATTTATATTTAAAGCTATAATCTAAGGACCTGTTAGATTATTAAAAACTTTAGAAAATTAGTTAATAGCTTATAAAGAGGTTATAAAAGGTTTATAAATTAGGAATTATTATATTACCTTTTTTGCTTTTTCTAACTTTACTAGGGCCCCTTATTACAAGCCGGGGGTTAAGATAAAACTTTTAACCGCTTCCTCCGTACAATACCTCATTTACTGCGCCGTACTACTTTAACGGCACTTGCATGATGCTCGAGTATGGGGCATGTGCTGAGCTGGTTTTTAGATTAGAGGAACAAGACGCGGAGTATCCCAAACAATATCCACCCTGTCACAGCCCTCCATGAAACACAAGCTTTCAAAGACTACTGCAGGCAAACCTCCACTGCAAAGCATGCAACCACCCATCAGAAAACCGATAATCATATCAGTGAGCGAATAAGTGGCTGACCCGTCTTCTAGAATTTTCAGGTGGCGGCACGGAGCTTGAACTTAAGTTGCGCGCGGCTCGTGGGCTGGCCATTGGCCTCACTCGGCGCGTCTGTCCAACGTCCTTCATCTCTTAGAGACAGCGGGAGGATTCAATTGCACCCGGTCCATCCAATTTACAGTAGGGCTGGTCGTCGAGCTGAGTCTAGGCCGTGCTCAGTAAGATGGGCTGGGTGGAAATATGTGCCCAAAAGGGAAAGTTAAGGATATAAGGCTTCCGTTGTAAGTGATTGGATCGTCACCGAACAATAAGCGATACAGTCGTAAGAAAGGTGGAATGAAATCAAATAATCCTCAAGGGGTTTTGCCCATTCAACTCGCCGTTTCATGTCGCGGCTAGGGTCTCTACAACTCGTCTCAGATTGCCAATTTCCAACTGTAGCACAACCGGCACGGACCAAAGAGGAAACCAGGCTCACATACCCTATAGACGACAAATTATGTGCTCGTAGCATCCGACAGTTTCCTACCTTAGGAGTCGCCTGTGCATGTCAAGAGTTACATTCGAAGCTTCAGAGTGTCCTTGACGAAGGGGAACGGCGACGTCTGTTTCACTACGGGTGACTCCGGCTCCATAGAGTTATCGGCCATGCTATTGTTCTTAATACGTCTGTTAAGACGTGAAACACCAAGGGTATTGGAGCTTGGATATCACCTAGGAGCTTTGTCGATGAGCTGCTGTTGAGTCAGTAAAAAGTGCCTTGAACCAATATCCGGCCTGTGCTTCGCTTAGAGTTCGTCTCTCGTAGGCCTCATTTCAAAGTTTGCTGGCTTTACCAGAAGCGTTTGGATAACCGAGATACAACTCTGAAGACTGATCTTCGGCTACAGAATACCTGTTTGATGATGAAAGCTGGCAGTTGTGACCAGACTTATTTGGTGATTCGGAGCTTACAAACAGCCTTTTACCCTCAGGAACACCAAGGACACTATTTGCTGTTTTCTCCAAAAGGCAGACACTGTCGATGTAACAGATACATCCGACCTCAACCCAAAGGAGTCAGATAGCGTTAAGCTTAAGCTCATTGATTTAACAACCAAGGTTCGAGAATCAGAACCTCCATGTTTGACGGCAGTTGATCTGGTCGATCTCTAAACATTACCAGCGCTACCGAAAGCCACCTTTATCATACGACAACTAATGCGAATATGAAACATTCGATGAACTCTCAACCACCAGTGGCGGTCAAGTGGGCGTTAAGTGTAACCACAATCAGATACTCTTGCGATATTAGTTATTGGTGTTGGCACTCATCTACCAGGTCGTTCCTAGAAGCGAACATGGACCAAGGGTGCACGAAGCTTGGCGGATATTGCCGTCTACAGTAGCAACGGGCCGTCTAGACTCTAGAGTCGTTTCCCGTAGCTCCAACGCCAGTTCAAGCTGTATAGTGACGTCGAAAATCGAATAGCTACTAGGTATAGGTTAGGTCCAAAGATCTCGCATCTTTTACTGCTGAGTCAACAGCCTCTGCGTGCCTGGATCGAACGTCACACAGGCAAGTGATCTCGGAATGCAGAAAAATGCGTGACATGAAAGCATGCTGCTGCTGATCATGCCGACCGACATATTTGAGAACCGTTGGGCTTGCAAGTACACAGTACCAGTCCCAGGACCGATGAGCTGTCACCGACAAAAGTATCCAATACTCATTGGACAGCATTGGAGCTTGATAACATTTTTTGGCGGGGACTCATGGCGGCCTGGAGGGGCAAAGCTCCAAAGAATCACCACATCAGAGCAGTCGACAACCTCCCCCGCCAAAACAAACCTCACCTCTAAACCTTCTTGCCCTCGCGTCGCAACTCTCATCCTTCTTCTCGTCCTACTTGCAACTACTCAGTTCCTATAATTTCACACATCTCACATCACTATGTCGTGGCAAGGTCGGTTTCTCACTGTCTCTACTATCCTACACCGTCCCGCTATCGATTTCCCCTCCCCCGCCATCGTCCTTGTTCCTCATCACCGCCTCCAAATACCTCTATCTCGAAACCCTAACTTGAAGTTGGACAAAAAAGCTGACATGATGACTCTTACATCGATATAGCATACATTGACTCAAGGTATATACAATCGATTTCATAACTCTTGATCACACGCTATGATCATGCTTTCCGGCACGAATACCGACAGAATGCTGACATTTTTCGTCTCGATAGCCTTGTCGGCTCCGGTCACATTGACAAGGGCGCCATCATCAGTGTTGCTGGCGACAGCGCCTGGGCTTCTTCTCCTGACCTTCAGGTACGGCAAACCTTCCTTCACCGACTCAACCTCTCGGATCGATGGGCTAGCCCCTCGTTAAGGAACAAAACTGACCTTGTAACCCCACTATAGCTCAAGCCCGAGGAGATGAAGGCCATCTCTGCCATCGTTGGCGGTGACTCGGCTGCCAAGGACAAGGCTTTCGCTGAGGGTCTCTACATTGCTGGCGAGCGTTACGTTATGGCCCGAGCCGAGGACCGGAGTATCTACGCCCGATCGGTACGACGCCCAATTCACGAATCCCATCTCTTTTGACTAACTTCTGAATTACAACAGGGCCGCCTCGGTGTTGCTGTTGCGAAGACTGGCCAGGCCATCGTCATCGGCCACCACGGCGAGGCCCAGGTCGCTGGCAACGCCACCTCTACCGTCGAAGGTCTTGCCGACTACCTCATCAAGTCAGGATACTAGACATCCAGTGTGTGAGGCAAGGGTCTGGACGGAATCAACTGTGAGAAGCGCCAGGGAAACGCTGTTTGTCCGTGGAGCGGACAGTCAACACAGCTATAACGAGCTTATGCCGAGAAGAGCGCCTTTGTTTTAGAGCACTGGGCTATGAGCTCGAGTGTGTAACCCGGGGGAAGACATTTTCCTTATTTGACCAAAAATCGGTCGGACGAGTTTGTTTCTACACGATTCTGCATATAGGCAATCCGAGTGCCCTCCAGAACCTGTCACCTGTATGCCAGATTTGAAATGATAATCAAATGTCAGCCAACTCGACTCTCCATTACAACTGCTTTTATCGTTTGTTCTCCGTTCGTATCCGTGATGTACAGTACTTTTGTCCATCTTGTTATAGGTACTCATGATAGTTTATGTCATTAACGCCGATTCCAACCCAATATTTTCTCTTGAACTCCGCCATTCAACTCTTGCTAGTCGCGTGTCGTCGAATACCTTTTACACGTGATGAATCTTGTTCTCGTTCGGGTGATGCACAAAAGTGTCTCCTAGGCTCAGAAGAGCATCTAAACAGGAAGCTCGGCGTTTCGTCTTCCAAGGCCTATCCTATCGGCGATCATTCCAATATACGGTCCTACGACAGGCAAGCCTCGCGCAAAGCCAGCAATCGTCCCCAGGAAATCTCCGAACAGGACCACTATGCCGTATGCTTCAACAATAAACCCAATAAAGGTCCACTTCATGAAAATCAGGATCAGGCCTAGGAAGAACGCCGCCGTCCCTTTTGCTTTTTGCTTGCGGGCGAAGAAGAGAAGTGTCTTTTGGGGTCCGATGATGATTGTCAATCCGATAAGGAAGAGAATCTGTTTCGCAAGTCGGTCGTTAGCAATCGCTCGTTCGTTATGATAGAGGAAGGGAAGAGGTGGTCATACGTTTCCCATAGCAAGCCTGCATAGAAGTCAGCAAAGAAAACCACTAGATGATTGAACCTGTCAATACTTACATGGATCGGTCGAAGAATAGCATGACACCTCCTATCAGGAAGAAGCCTCCTAGACTAAACGTCAGCCTCCATATCTCAACCATGCGCAGGCGCAGGCGAACGCACCGCCGGAGCAGAAAACAACTCCAATTTCTATCGCAAACGGTCAGCTTTCGTCCATATCGAGCAATCTCTGGCCTAGAGGGTAGCGCATCGTTGCAGTGCTCATGATCGCAACTCGCGTGCCAGTGTAAGATAAGGCGTACTTTGAGTATCTGTCAACCACATCGACATCTTTGCGGCTCTGTGTATCGCTGATTTGATGGATAAATTCGATCGGTACTGATGGTTTCGATGGTAAAGCGTATAATGAAGCTTCGACTAAGAAAAGGGCAGGATTGAGAGCAGGGAGAAATAACTGAGGCCCAAATTGCTGTAATGTTTGCTTTTTTCGTCACCAGCTCTACTTCCCTCGAGGACACGTTCCAGGGGTTTACATGCGATTGACAGGGCTGTTCCAAACGGGGTTTAGGTGGTGCCTGGAGCTGCTTCGTGGCTATTGGCTGTGCTGCGTGAAAGTGGGCGAGCGTGGATTGCCTTGAAATTTTGCTGAGGGCTGACTTTACAAGACCTGCATTTTTTCTTCATCTTCCACGGACAGTTTGAAACGACTCACGACTAAATGCTCTTGGCCTACAACAATCCAATACGATTGCAGTACAAATCACTGAAACCTTTGCCAAATGGGTTTTATTGTTTACTAGAGAAGAAGAGGGTCGTTGAGAAACAATACGTTTGATTCACTCTATGGAACAGCTTGCTATACATTTCCTTCTGACAGATTTCCTGTCCCTGCCGCGACGGCTAGCGGCGTTCTTCGCCCTGGCAACTGAGATTCGTTTCTTCCCCATACGTTCTCGGTAGTCTGTCGACCTAGGCAGAGAACAAGCTCATGATCACGATTAAGCCGGAGCGTCAATTGCCATCCCTTGGCCGAGAGGCTAAGGGTGCATAGTTGGGGCTTGACTTTGTTGGTCGGACACTCCTATTTGAACTCTTAAAATGGTATCTTTGTATAACGTGCATATGTCTGGTGATTCTTCGTATGAAACCCGTATGACAGGTTCCTGGGCCTTGTTGGTGAGGGTTTCGCAATTTCATTAAATGGGTATTCCAAACTTGAGCCATGCTCACTTAAGGACTGTATGAGCGCCACGAGCCTCGAGGAACTGCTCTGCCACACCCTGAGGTAGCGTTCTAATGAGGCCAAACACTTCCTTATTGTGATAGCGAAGTCGCGTCTTGGGGTCGAGGTAGGGAGCTGGTAGTCCAGTCACGTCACAGTAATGTTTGTTATGCGCGAGTGATGGTGCCGATTCGATATTTGTGTAAGTGGCAGTTGGAGCAGACACACCACCTGTCGGTTTGAGGCTCTTCTCGAGGACAAGCTTAGACAGGTTTCGTGATGCTTGTGCCAGATTTGGGGGCTCCTTGCCGCTCTCGGTGGCTGGCGTGCTTGTACCGCTTGTTGAGAGTCCATCATCGGCTGGTGTAGCAATACCACTCGCGTCCATCGGTGTGCCAAGAGCTGAGGCCTCTCTTCGGGAAGCATCGCCGACGATGGCCTTGAGGTTCTTGTTTCGACGCTGGTTGGGCTTCCAGGCCGGACTGCGGAAGTTCTTGTGGGTGGAGTGAATGTCAAGCTTCTCTATAAGCTCTTGATGGGCGATTTGCGCCTCGGTTGGGGCGGCCATTGTGTCTCGTTTCTGGATAGCTGGTATCGAAATTTTATCCAAGTTGGCTCGAAAGGTGCCAACGGCTTTACAGACTTGTTTCAATATCGGTGATTAATGCAGGAAAAAGTGCTTTGGCTTAAGGTCTCTTGGATGTCGCAGTCATGAGCTTGCCGCGTTGGAGATTCTGCCGGGCTTCACCGTATTTCTTGCTTGGAGCTCTGACATACCTACAGCGAGATGCCCAAACATGGCATAAAGTAAACAGAGCACTCCGCCAACAAGGAATACTGCCTCGAGCGTACTTTTTATCACTATAAAACCGATAGCCCACTGAAATGGTAAGATTCACGAAGATTGCAACCAAACATCGCTATGAAACCTTATCTGACGTGTTCATAGGAGTCCCCTCATGAGCACCAGCAGAACTTACTGCTTTCCCGTATCATCACCAATGTGGTATGTTCGGCGAAGCTGAATTCGTAAGAGATGGATATTAACGGCATGTAGGAAAAGCTCAACGAAGCTGTAGTTGTTATGAATAAGAGCCTTCAGGTCAGTTGAGTCGCATTTTACATCAATCGCATGACTAATAAGCCGCTTCAGGATATTAACATTCAGAACATGAACGTTGAGTTGGTTGCGCAAATGTTCAAGAACTACCAATCGAACGTTCTATTTCACCTGGAGGGTAAGTGTTTTTCGTCTAGTGATGTGTTTGCGACCGCTGATGATATTGGTTAGCCACGGACAACCTTAAGCCGCCGAACTGAGTGTTGACATGGGTTGCTAAGGCTGGAGTATGATGGCGCACGACTGTACATGAAATAATGACTTACTGCCAACTCTTCCAATACAAAAAGGAAGTTATGCAAGGAATTAACAGGGAGCTTGCTATACCAAAACCAAGCTTGCCTACCTGACCTTGACCTACTGTTTGCCTAAATTAACTTGTATATAAACCTGTCTAAAATGAAGACGGGCCATGCTTGACAGTGTATCACCGAATATGTAATCGGGGCAAGCCAACTAAGGTATCTGATAACTATGACTTGCATCTACGGAAGACATTACAATCTCTGCACGTGTTCGGCTCATTGAGAGGTCAATAGTGTGCCGTCTCTCACTGCATCACTTGCATTGTCGCGTAAGTGGATCCCGGGATTGAATGACACGGCCTAGATCAGCCTTGTAGCCTCACACCTTCTCAATTTCCAACAACGAAGCTCCGTATTTTGCGAGTCTGACAGACAATTGGCCACTAGAGTCAGACATCGACCAACCTAAACCTTTTTGTTCCTCCTGTCATGACTCCTATCCCTTACTTGTAAACTCCATCCGACCATCCTATTCGCAATCATGGCTCCCTCGGCCATCGATGAGCCCGCCATTAAGGCGCCCGAACAAAAGACATATCCTCCCGCCAAGATCTTCCCTGTCAAGGAGACACGCTTCGAGAATTACATTGAACCTACAAAGGATGGCCGCGAACGCGCTTTGAAGCAGCCTGATAGCGCTGCCATCGTCATTGATAATGGTGAGCTTCGAGCGCAAGGGGTTTGCGATGGCTGGCAATTGACATTTCGCCTTTAGGCTCGTCTGCCGTGCGCGCCGGCTGGTCTTTCGATTCGAAGCCAAGATTTAGCATCCCTCCGATTATGGCCAAATACCGCGACCGAAAACTGGGCAAGACCTTTTCTTTTGCTGGTTCAGATTGCTACGCCGACACGACCGCGCGAGGCCACATTCGAGGCGCCTTCGAGGCTGGTACAGGAATTGTCAGTAACTGGGATGTGATGGAGCATGTCCTCGATTACATTTTCCTGAAACTTGGCATGAATGATGCAGACGGTGCCATTGAAGTGCCAATTGTTATGACAGAGGCTGTTGCCAATCTCCCTTACTCAAGAAAATGTACGTGGAACGTTTTATTCCCACAAGCTTATACTGAAATTCTTAGCCATGACTGAAATCATCTTCGAATGCTACGGCGCGCCTTCGCTAGCTTACGGAATCGATTCACTCTTTTCATACCGACACAACAAGGGCAAGACTGGCCTCGTGGTTTCGTCATCATACACATCGACTCATGTGATTCCTGTATATAACTCGAAAGCCTTGCTCGGACAGGCCACACGATTAAACTGGGGAGGTTATCACAACGCTGAATACCTCCTCAAACTCATTCGGCTCAAATATCCAGCCTTCGCTGGGAAGCTTAACGTCTCACAAGCTGAACACATGCTACGGGACCACGGCTACGTATCTCGGGACTATGACAATGAGCTCGC